TACCATTTGGTCAGATTAAAACCCTCATTCATTTCGGTGTTCAATTGAAATCGAGGCCAAATGATGTCATGGTTACCGTTTGGGCTGGATGTGGACGTAAACAGATCGGGTGTAGTGTATGGTTCATCCGGGATTAGGTTTTCTGGACACTCAGGTTGAGAACGGCATGGGATTTGAATTGTTCTGATTATGATCAATAAATTTAGAAGAAAGTTCGCTAGACGAGGAAATGGTATTGTTTGAAAAACTCTTCATCAACAATTAAATTTAAAAATAGTTGACCTTTGTCGTACTCAAAAAGCACATGAAATTGATCATTATGCATCAACCTCGGCGGATTTTGAGATAAATGCGAATAAGTTGTTACTCACTAATTGTTATTACGTATCAAATGATCAGCCACAGTACATACTTTGCGCATTTCAAAATATAAGATCTTCAGATACAGATATAGGACATTTGGTCACGGGCCGGAAATCGCTTACAGCAGTTGTGTCGCGCCTGTTACTGAACTGATATTTTATATATGCTGGGATGTCAAGTTGAAGATAAAAATAAATTTCGTCTTCAACTGCCAGATGGTTGGCACATTGTTTACACAGCCTTTTCATGCTAGGGGTCAGAAATTCAAATCCAGGGCTCCACTGCTGAGCTGTAACACGAGTTCAGTGATTCTTCAGTGTACAGTTGACTGTAGAGCTGACGGTTATGCGTAAAGAGGAAATTCGCACAATGGTCGGTGGGAATAGAAATTCTGTTTGTCGAGTGTTAACTACTGGATAAGCTCCTTTGAATTTACCAAAGAAAAATACTTTGTTTTCGGTTCGTCTGTTACAACTGCTTGATGTGATTTGCCAAAGACAATCGAATAGGCATATCACGCATTAGATAAAAAGTCCAACTCGATAATGGTTAGCTACACAGGGCTGTACATAATACTGTTCAACTTTTATATAATAAATCACTGGCTTTAATAATGGTGAGCAATCTATCAAAGCCTGCCACCTATCATTAGTAGGCAAGGACAGACTTGTCCATCCATACGTGTGAGGCCCATCCACACTCGACTGTTATACTTTTTCGAGCACGTAGTTTGATTCTTTTAAATCCATCAACAGACCAATTTTTGTTGGGCATGGATTTCTGAATTAAAGGTGTACAGAACGACCTTTCTTCAAAAGTGATTCCTGCGAATCATACATGTGCTACATAATGATACATAGAATATCGGTTACCATCGTGAAAGTTTGATCATGGAACAATTTTCATTCGTTTGGGAGATTATTTTTAAAACGTTTTATACACAACGAGCAAACACGCTAAAAAGGAAGATATTCACAATAGGTCAATGTGTCGGTCGTAGGCGAAAGACACTGTCAATAGATTGGCCAATGCCTGACAGCATAACGCAAAGATTGGTTCCTTGTTTATTAGTACCGTTTCATTTTAGAAAGAAAAGAACGATCGGAAGAGCGGTACAACGACAGGGAACTGATGTCGGCTCAGATGGATGAATAAGTGGATGTACTTGGTAGAAAACAAGTGGAAAACACAGCAAAGAGGGAAATGAAAGCTATGGGGAACCGACAAGTTTTGGGGAAGATTAATTTGCGACTACTGCAGAACTCTCTTAACTGAAGATAACCCCTCACTATAACACCCGAAAAGACCGTACTCTATTTTTTACTTCACACCAGAGTGTGATGAACGGCAGACAAGATGAACCCCTAAGCCATGAAGACCTGCTGTTGAGTGATGGTAACCGGCAAAATATGCCCCGGGACTTGGAGTGGCGAATCACATAAGGCCCCTTTAGATCATGAGTGACATTAAAACGGACGGAGGCATGGCTGCTTTGCGGTTAAGAAGAAAAGCCCAAGTTCACCTAACCTACGACGGGAACTACTGAGGCAAAGGTGAGCTTATAAAACTTTATGCCTATGCGAATCGAAACTCGCATCAGATTCAAATAGAAAAAACACGTATTTACAGTGAATTAGCGTGTATGCCAACACGTGAAATCATATCAGTTGATACGAGAATGAAATCGAACAAAACTCGTCGTCAATATAGGTGATGATCGTTAGTTCGTAATTTGGAGAAAATGGATCTCCTTTGATTTTATGATAACAGAAATTTTAAGCTAATAAACATTGAGTATTTTAGCACTTCCGGTTATGCTGATAGATATAATTCACATATTATTAGATATATTCCTACGGCATCACTGGGCATTCGGCTCCCATCCAAGTTTTTGCTAAATGCTGATAGATGATTGGCTCACCGGAAGCGGGCTAGCTATCATATTGCATTAGGACATTGTTTGGTGTAATTGTCTGTCAGTAGACTGAAATAGTTTTGTGTGACGAATGGAGGGGAAATCGAATGTGATTAGTTGTTGTACACATCCTGGACAAGCGCAATTCGAGTAGAGGCCGCAGAACCCACAATGACCAGATCGTCCGGCAACGTGAAAATAAAACCTGGACAAGTCGTTCAGACAAAGTATTGATGGCGGCGAAATAAACTGCTCACCCTAATACGTAATCCGTCTATTCGAATGTCAGGATCACAGGCGCGCCATGGTTGCTTTCTTCCTTAAGCATAAACTCTAATAAAAGTTGAGGCAATTCGACCGTTAAAGGCCCAGACCTTAGTTTCAGTTTCAGATGATACGCAATAAATCATGGTGACTACAGTTTACTTCATCTACTGGTTATCAGGCTGTAATTATGTGGGGATGAAAGTTGATTATCTGAACACATACGCAATGAGTACATAATCTGCTGGTTCAAAGACGTCTCTTGATGCTATGTTTCTATAACGATTAACTATAATGACGAACATACTGAAACAGCCATACTAAACTTTCTCCATAATTGCATTTATAGGACTTTCGGGCGGGGAAAAATGTGCACAAACCATGTCTTTTCATCATGTTATCAAAAACGATTAATCTACAATAAGTTTCCGTATTAGTTTACCTCTCGAAATAATTAACATGGATTAATTCAGTCCAGTTTTAAAGATTTAAAAGATTAGTGCAAACAAAAAAGCAGAAAACAAGATGGTCAGATGCTTCTGGTAAATGGAATAATTTAACGAGTGCATTACCGTTTTGATCAACAATTGTAACAGCCGTTGCGCCCATGTCACTTCAATAATATTTCGCAACATTCGTTTAGCTGATTGTCTTAGGGGTACCATCGCATTTGGTCTATACTGGTTTTGATAAAAACAGGTTCATCGAGACTGCAGATCAGGAGCAACAAGAACACCACACTGATAACCAAAGATAATCACATTCCAGCGAAGACGAATCGTGCGATTTACACCAGTGATCAGGATTGTACGGATAACGGCTGTTTGGGAAAGCTTTACATAGTCTCAAGTCTGATCAAATTGCATTTCTAATACAATAAAAATAATTCTAGTTTTTCTTCTGTCCTGCGCTGAAGACTTTATATATATATATATATATATCAGTCAACGCAAACTTTACATGCATGCAATAGAGTCAGATCGAGATAAATTGATCTCGAAGAATCATTGCGATTTTATTACATTTTGTGGGTTAGATTCGTCTGACCTCAGCAAACTCGATTCTTTTTGACCTTCGGATCAGTTCATTTACAGTAAATGTCACTAAAACAGGATACGTTTTTCCGAATCACGTATTCATGAACCCCGACAAACTTGTGGACCTATAGCACTACATCGGCTCATCATACATTAAACAATGGAAAGTTGAAATAAGCATACCGGAATTTCCATTATCAAAATGACAATTACAACAATGGGATATGCTTCATTTTGCTGAATACGAAACCGGAAAATCGGTCATTAGAGGTGGAGGTGACTAATCACAGGATCCCAAGGAACTGGAAGAATTGATACGCAAAATGTTGTTGATGGTGTGATGGTAGCAAACAACCTGAATGTTGACATGTGTTCCCTATTTGGAACTAGTCATACAAGTCCATAAAGTACGTCAGTAAAGTTGGAGAGGAAATTAGAGCACAATCGGGATGCCGTAGTTACACCTCGTTACCTGCACGCAAACAGAAATTCAACCCGATATTTTTCAATTCAAAACAGATTCAAAGACGCCAAAATCCCCGTTTTTTTCAGGTATGGACCACACTTCTTACCTTGTCGGATTTCATACTGAATTTGTTTTACAATAAGAACAACACAACGTGAAGAATACATCAACCCCATGAAAAAAGGTTCATATATGGTCAACAATATAATCAGACAACGCAGTGTCCAAATTCGTATAAGATTAAATAAACTCGTATCAAACTCGTCAATACCAACGTAAAATAGGAAAAAATCTACGCTGAAGTACGGAAGATGAGACGGAAGGAAGGCCGAGAACAGCACCGAAAAAATCGCTGTGCACAGAGAGACCGTAGTGCCCCTGCTGCTCAGCCATGAGTAGCACAAGTGCAAACAATCCATTTGGATGGAATCTACAAGCACACTGGGGTAAAAGTTCATTCAATGCTCATCGACACAGATGGTAACACACACAGAGAGAAAAAAACGACGTTACACACATCAATCGAAAATTAGTAGTACACTTTTATCTGGAGCAAATAGTTCAATTCCGAAGAAGGAGATGTATTCGAAACTACGGGGAAGGTTTCCACTTGGTTACCGGAAATCAAAAGATAGTATTTAGCTCTCTGGTATAAATAGTTCAGCACATCCACATATCATACCCGATGGCTCTAAAGGAGGATGGTATTCATTATACGAAAGTAACACGTAGGAAGTAAGAGTTTAGTTCATATTGACTTCAATGTAAGTACACTGTTATTTTGCCCCAGTGAAATCAGCGACTGTGTAAAAAGGATAAAGAAAATGAATTGATTTTGATCCCACATTGATTCTGATTGACTGCGCCCAAACATACGGAATTTAGATCCCAGAATTCCGACAAAATTATCGTGGTTCCCTGAAACTATTTCTGACTACCTAATGAATGAGACGGGAATTTTAACGCATGTTATTTAAATATGTATCTGTCAGTGTGTCAGCGGCAAGAGTTTTGTGTGTTCAATACAGAACGGAGACACAGCACTGCAAGTTGACACTATATTCGAATATTCCACCCATGTAATGTATCAGTGCGAACAATAATCCATTGCACAACTATTGTCAAACTATTATTTTCTCTTCTATGAAACTCTCATGCGTGTACCGTCTTTCAGTCTCGGTAATCCATAGAGGATATGATAGTGAACAGATCTGTGCACAGTGATTTCTTTGCGTCAGAAAAAGGACAAGTTCGAAAATACACATGAAATTCGACTCTCGGAATGCTGCTACCTCGTGCTGACCTTGTTGGCACTAAGCTTATTTCGGATCAAATACGTCATACCGAACGAACTGCATGTTTACAGTGATGTTTAC